GTAACAAAGGTCATCGCTACTAGGAGCAAGGACGCTACTAGGGGCTCGTGGCCTTACTACAAGGAACAAGAAGCTACTAGTAACAACGGGCATTTCTACTGGAGAAAGGACACTACTCTGGGCTCCTGGCCTTACTACTAGGAACAAGAAGATGCTAGTAACAAAGGGCATTTCTACTAGGAGCAAGGACGCTACTGCCCGGCAGTGGCATCTGACAATACTGAAGTCTAAAGGACTTCACGGAAGTGTTGCTGATTAGACAATTTCTTTGTTCAACGATGGATGCAAGTACAGTATGGGTTGGTCTACCGAGTTCAAATTTTTGTTCTCAGCCTTCTTTTTTTTTGCGGATTGGTGCAATGGTGTTCCCGTTGCTCAACCGAGTTTTTGCTTTGTCTGAGTCTGATACCAACCACCAAGCTACACCTGTTTTATCTTGTCGATTGCCAGCAAGGTTTCCTCAACATCAACCACCACGTCTTCATCAACAACATCCACTTCTACCTCGTCCACGTCAACTTCCGTTTCATCTTCAACAGTGACCACCACCAGCACAACCTCTTCATCAACTACCTCCACATCAACCACCTCCACTTCTTCTTCTTCCACAAGCTCAACGACCGTGGCTTGCAGAGCATGAAAAGAAAAGGTGAGGTGTAGGCTGTGAGAGAGCTGCGAAGCAAAGGAAGAATGGGAGGTAGATAGCGGCTAGCGGGAAGATTCAAAAAGAAAGCTTGTTTAGTCCTTTGGAAGCTACTAGATGCAGGACGCAGAGGGGCTTGGGTTCTTCGAGGGAATGCGCTTCAGGGTGACAAAAGTCTTTTGAAGAGCTATTCGACTCTTCGCATGGTCGAACAGGTTCCATCCGGTTCCGAGTGTTTTGTAGGAAATTAGTAAGCACAAGGGTTCAACTACAATCGAACACTTTAAGTAGATTTGCATATCGACCGATGTTTGGACAGATTGTGTTTTTCACTTCTCAGGTGACGCAAACAACGTCCACTTCATCATCAGCGCAGACCTTAAAGCAGATTATAGAATGTTACAGCCATCTTGCTTGGGGATGATTGTTCAATCCAAGCCTCAAGCCGCTTCCTGTCGTGGAAATAGTAGTAAGACATGGGTGCAGTGTCTCAAAGAGCTTGGAATTTCACAGAGCTTGGTCTCGAAGAGTTCCGGAACAAGGTCACCATCACAACTACGAGTGCTACAACCACTAGCTCGACGACCACATCAACCTCGTCCACATCCACGAGCACCACCTCAAGCAGCTCAACCACTGTGGCATGGCGAAGATGAAGGGAAGATACTTAAAGAAATGCCATTAAAGAGCTTTTCTTTTTCCTAGAGGCATTCTTGTCAAGGCGGTATTTGACTTCGTAAGTGCAGCAGTGCCAGGTGAGGTATATAGTGGAAAGGCAGTCAGATGACTTACTTCCTGTTGAAGCAACGACCAGTGGTATAACATGGTATAACCAAACCTGAAGCACCTGGAATTGCAAAGCCTCTTGTGATCTGCACAGTTGACGCACACAACCTCGACTTCTTCAACGGTGACCACAACATCCTCCACCATTTCTGTGACAACGTCCACCTCTTCGTCGGTCACGAGAACGACCTCAACATCATCAACCATCACTCACACAACAACATCTACAACTTCGTCAAGCACAACATCGACGAGCTCAAGCACCACCTCGACTAGCACAACCAGTACCACTTCAAGCTCGACGACGGCCACGTCTACCAGTACCTCAAGCACGTCTACCTCCACAACCAGCAGCTCGATCTGCAAGTTCAGTCTTGCGCACCGATCAACACCCCAGTACCTTTGTGCAAATGATTGAGAATTGAGAGCTTGATGATTGAGGTACTTCATCAACCAGTTCCTCGTCAACAAGTTTTTCCAGCACAAGCACCACTAGCAGCTCGACAAGCAGCACTTCGACCTCTTCCAGTTCCACATCTGTGCCGCACCAGCAAGAATGCTTAAAGACCCCCCAAGTTAGTATTCAATCCCCAAGACAGTACAAATAGGAATGGCAAACCACGGGTTGCCTACATTTTCCGCAGCTGCCAAGAGGGCTTCCACAGCTTGATTGCTTCGAAAGAGACCAAGTGGACTGCCAGTGCAATCAGCTCGCTTGCCCAGTCCACTTCGACGAGCAGCTCGAGCACCACCTCGTCCTCCACAAGCAGCAGCTCCACTACAACCTCATCGACAAGTACGACCAGCGCAACTCCAAATAAACAGATTATGATTATGGGCATGTTGTTGTTGCTGTTGCCTCTTTTCCTTTTTTTTTCTATATTGCAGAACTCACAAGTTGCAGTTCAACAATGTTTAACATATTTGAAACCATGATTAGATGTGTTCATGATTTTTTTTTTGCCAAAATCATTCAATGGATCGTTGTGATTCTAGTCTGCAACAAGGTAACCTCAACTACGACAACAACAAGTACCAGCTCGACCACAACAACAACCTTCCTGGGCAGACCTTTGTCGAAAGTTTAGCCAGATTCAGACGCAACAGCCGCAACGGCTGTTCTATTAATTCTGATGTGCAAAGAATTCTACAGTTTTAGCAAGCAGCTTTGCACGTTGACGGTTAGTCCAGTTGAATTCATTTTGCATATTATATGCTCAAAGCTATGCACAGGACTTCTCAGAACCCAAGTGCTCTACAATGGCATTTGGGTTTGGCGCACCTTCCATGAAGAGTTTGAGGTGCGATCGTTTTCGACTTGGCGACGTGAGACACAATTGGTTGACGTGAGACACGTATGTCTCTGGAGGTGAATGAAACATTGACCTTCGACAACGCCTCTTTGGTGCCGGCAGCCGGTCTCTTAGAGCGATGAGCTTTCAGTTCCGTCAGTCGGATAAGTTGATTTTCAGTGATTTTCAGTGATCAGAGATTAAAACAGATACCTTATATAATTGTACCTTTTGACTCTTTTTAGCTTTTTACCTTTTTTTTTTCCAAGATTTTTCCTGCCAGGATTTTGCGCTCCAGGATTACACGCATATCATGCTCTACTTGCAGTCCAGCTTCTGCTTTTTGGCACGGGGAAAGAACGCTTTTGTTTGATATGTTATTGTCTTTTCCAGTGATGTGAAGCACATTGGCAGTGGGTGATTTTGTGTGCTGGTGCTTTATCAAACTAGTGGGCAGGTAGTTTGACAACCTAGATATTTGTATGTAATATATGGTTGTCGATCTAAAGGTCCTAGTCAGCAGTGTGTATGACGATGACCCGGAACATATCAAAATCTCATTTGGCGAAAGTTTTTTCTCGAGTTGGCGAAAGTAATTTTTTTTTGGCGAAAGATGTGGCGAAAGATTAAATATGTACTTTTGTATGAATGTTCATTTGCTTTCTGAACAGCTGGTGGCAGTGACTCAGAAGCTAGATGAGCTGTGGAAGTTAGATAACCTGCTGCTGCTGCGACTACTACTACTACTACCACTACCACTACCACTACCACTACCACTACCACTACCACTACCACCACTACTACTCCTACTACTACTACTACTCCTACTACTACTACTACTATTCCTGCTCCTGCTTTGGGGGGTTGCTTTGCCACAAAACTCTACCCCGCAAAAGGCGAAAGTTTGGCGAAAGTTCAGCTCAAGATTGGCGAAAGTTCACCCTGCCACATCTGACCCCCAGCCCATTATGAGTAAGTTTGAGTGACCGGCTACTACAGTGATTCTTGCAAATTTGAGTCTTGCTGACACCCAGGAGAAACAAAAGAGACGTACAGGGTGTCAACAGTTAAGTAGAAGACGCATGCTGACAAACAGTGAAGTTTCTATTTTGTGTTTGCCAGTAAAGAAGAAGCCATTGACGTGAACAAAACACAACATACATGGCACACATAAATACAACGTACTTCGGCGAAAGATAAAACGCAGGAAGGCGAAAGTTTGGCGAAAGTAAATTTTTTTTGGCGAAAATGACGGATCCCGGATAAAGGAATTTAGATCAACTCCCATATATATAAAAATATATATATAACTTTATAAAACCATTTTACATATATATATATATGTATAAATAACACAGTTGGTACACAAAGGCTGAACCTTCAGAAGGTGCTTCTCTCGCGACTAGGTGAGCAGAGCACGCCGCAGGTCATCCCAATTCGGGATGCCAAGGTGCGCAGAAGAGTTGAAAATACGTGTGGACTCCCTATGCCAAATTGTGCAATATGCCAAGTGGACTTTGAACATCTAGAGGCAGAAAGCAAGCCTTTGTGTCACAGGCGAGCGTGTCCAATGTGGCTTTCATCGACAAGGACTGATTTCATTTTTGCAGTGAGTCCTTTTCACCATTGTTGCGGCAGGGCTCTTGAGGTCAAAGAGACTTACTTATTCTGCACACCATTCAACATAATTTGGTTCCATACCTGTGGAGATTTGCTTGATTGATGGCTACCTCAATTTCTTACTTAATTAAGTAGGGTCTGGGGGAGCGGCCAAAAAAGCAGACTTGGCCCAATGCAGGACTTGGACGGGAGCGAACTGGGCGGCCAAATATCATGGACGGAACCAACGGATTTTGGTCCTGCTGGAGTGAACAGAGCACTGTCACTTGGCAATGGGGACACAAATGGAGGACTCAAACAAATTCCATGGAATTTTGACATGCAGAGCTGACAGTTGACTCAACCGAAACTATTTTAAGTGCATTCGATTGCTTGTTTTGAAGGTTTTTCGTTCAGTCAGAATCTCTTGAGCAAGTTCCTGCTTGCACCATCTAAGGCGGTATCGGCTTTACTTGGCAGACACAGACATGGGAGTCAACAGGATTCTGCTCAACTACCAGGTGAGGGGTCTGGTGTTGTTGCTTTTTTACTACGCTTTCCAGCGTCGTGAGCAATGATGAAGAGGGGCTAGGTCGATTAGGTATGATGGCCTTTCGACGACTGATGAACAGCAGTTTCGAGAGAAGTGATAGCTTGTGGTGTCTCGCCGACTCGCTGTGTTCCGAGGTAAACTCCTTCCAATACCTGCGTTTCACAGCCTCGAAGCTGCGGAATGACACATTTGCGGAAGGTGTTTCGTCTTGATGGGCGAACAGTTGCAGAGCTGGTGAGAACTTTGTCAAAGAACTCACATTCTTGGCAGCCTTTGGCACGTCTTCATTTTGCTTCATGCTGTGTGGGGTAGTGAAGTCCATGACTTGACGAAGCATAACTTTTGCCAGCTTGATGCTTCCATGCCCTAGGCCCTAGGCTCCTTATGATAGTGCCTAAAGCAATGGACCTAGCACGACTTAAGTACCTCTTTCGAGCTGAAAGCACACTTCAGCCGACAGGAATGCAGTCGAGACAAGTGAGGACAAATCCACAAATTCTACTCAGCTCCTGACGAGGTTTGCCGGTTTGCTAATCCATGCAACAGGTGTGCAGCTGGCAGAGATCAGTTTCCGCGTGGGAGGGGCCTGGACGTTGGACTTGAGCACTGCCACTGCGACCAACACAGGATCAAGCCCTTCGGGTGAAGGACGGGAATGTGCCAAGAGGTTGTTTCAACCTGTTTCAAATTTGTCCGCAACACTCGCACAAACCAGGAGCATTCTGCATCAATGCATTTCTCAGGAGCTGACCAGGCAATTGATGGCAATTCTGCCACCAAGTGGTTTGACTACACCAGGTCAGCTTTGACCGTGCAGTTGGCATCTCCTGCAAAAGTGGAGGCCGGAGCGAGTAGAGTTCGAAAGGCAAGGTCAACTTGCTTGGCTCGGCTTCGCCCTGCTTTCAGTCACACACACTTAGGATAGGGTGTACTGAACTGAAAGCGGTGCCACACGCCGGCCTAGGGTTCCATTTCCTAAGGGTACCAGTACGAACCACGGGAACCTGGAGGACTTCAAGAGGAAAGAAGGCCAAAAGCTCAAGGCGAAAACGGACCGACGGGGTGACGGCGTAACGTGCATGTCTGCGGAACTCACTAGCCCTTTACTAAGGGTAGAAACTAGCTGGGTTCTCGGCTTAGCCCAGTGGCCATGCGCGGAAAAACTCAAAGCAGGTACGTGAGAGTGATCAGCTCTCATTTCCCGTACAATCAGGTAGCTTCGTTGGACATGGTCCCTGATTGTACGCCATGTCCCCCTGCTGCACAAGGAAAACAACTGTGAAGCTAAAACAATCCGAAAGGATCCCTATGATTCCAAGGGTTACACACACTCATGGATATGCGTACTGACTTGATTGCGGCGCCACACGCCCACCTAAGAGACCCAAATCCTGAAAAA